ATTATTGATCAATACAATTTTTAATCATATAAATAAGTTTGTCTTCATTGTGGAATTTAAAATTGTTAATGATGGCATTTTGGTCTATATTATAGTAAAATTGACATTGAAGAAATTTTGAACATGTTTGCAAATGATTATGTAAAAAAGGACATTTTTTGCAATTTCCTCTTAAAAAAACTTGTTGCATCTTTCCATGTGGAGTAGAAATTGTCAAATTGAAGCTAAAACACAAATCTAGGATTTGAGCTTGAGGATTTGGTAATAGATCTAATCACTAATTTAAGTATTGAGTATACTAAATACAACTCATACTTATGATTTTTTTGGATTTTTCCTGCCAAATAATTATATTAATTATTACAGTCAATCATGTACTAATGCTGTGATGGATTGAAACAAGCCCTCCTTGTGTTTCATAATTGTACATAGTATCATCTTGATATGTAGTACTAAATGACACTATCTTGAGATTTGGATAGAAAGATTTTCTTAATTGGTTGGATCTATGGTTAAGAATGAGAAATTCATCCCCGATCTAGTGGTAAATATTGATTGAAGCCCTGAATGGGATCCTATCGAACCGAAAATAGTCTTGCTTACTATAAATATCTTTTGGAGGAGAGCAGACGTCATAAATTCAATCTGATTGGTTATGAGTCTAGCTAGTGACCCAAAAGTAGTGCTCTTTTTTCAATAGGGTTCCCAACAAGTTTGGATGATGTTCCCTTATATTTAAAAAAAAAAATCAATTGAAAGGCATAAACATTTGAACTACTCGGGTTTTGATTTTATCTTTCTTTTGATATGATCATTCTATTTAAAGGGGGAAGAGTGACATTCGACACACTTCTCAGGAAAAAAATCGGGAAAAATAATTTAATTAGATCAGTTAAGAGAAAAGCAAAATTAATAGAGAATAAAACGTCGAAACTTTGTGAGTTATTCGATTAAGAGCGCGTGTAGTATCTCACTCGTATGGATCCTCACCTCATATTCACCATGACCCATATATAAACATATGATTAGTTTATACTTATCTTCCAACTATATTTTACTTTATTATCCGTCAAGTTTAGGGATGGCTACAGGTAATGACTATAATGTCCTTATTTATCGTCTGTTTACTTATTTATTAATATTTAAATATTACTTAAACTTGAAAATATAAAAAATAAGAGTAGGAGTTGAGACCGAGACCATATTTTGCCATCTCTGCTCAATATGTAAAGGGAAATATTCATTTTCACTTTCCCACCAAAAAGCATAGCCAAGAGAGTACCATTAACACAATTTTCACTATGGAGAAGGACGTTCTAGCCATATTTAAAATTTCCAAGGACATTTTCGTAAACTCAACTAACTTGCCAACCAACGACCACCGTACAGGTTGTTAGATATACACACAGTAAAAACGAACACTTATATATTCAACATCATAACAAATTCATCCCTCTTTCAAGATTCACCTTCAAATCAACAATGGCGGAATTAGAGAGCCCAAATCTGATGCCTAAACTCATTAGTTACCTCTCTTCTCTCCTCCACAGGGTGGCCGAATCGAACGATCTAAACCCAAGTTTCCAAACCCAGAAAATCTCTGTCTTTCACGGCCTAACTCGACCAACCATCTCAATTCAGACTTATTTGGATAGAATTTTTAAGTATGCAAATTGTAGCCCTTGTTGTTATGTCGTTGCTTATGTGTATCTTGATCGGTTCACGCAGCGCCTGCCCACCTTGCCAATCAATTCTTTCAGTGTTCATCGCCTGCTCATCACTAGTGTAATGGTTGCTGCAAAATTCATGGATGACATGTAAGTTTTCTCTTATAAGATATTTTTCTTGAAAATGCTTTTGGAATTCAGTTTGATCCAGAGGACTACGAAATTTATTGGGTGTTTTAGTTAGTATGTTGGAATTAAAGCAGTTTTTGGGTGTTTATATTTTCCATTTAGAGGATTAGTGATTAAGTTCTTTTGAGTCAAATTCTTGATTATCTCAAGAAGATAAATAGTTAGATCCAGCAATCAAGAGATCAATACAGCTTTCCATTAATTTCTGTTTTTATTATATAATTTTAGTTCTTCAAATTAGACAGCCACTCATTGTGGCATCCAGGGTCTCAATCTTACATTCATTTATGAAACTTACATTCCAACAATGACTTAGAATCTAGAGTAATTCATTATATATGTACTCCACTTAACAGTATATGCAATAGTATAATGCATGCAAAATTTGGACCAGTAATTTTCTTTTTGGGTTTGTTTAAAAAAGTCGAGTATTCAGTACTAGACAATATTTAGAAACAATAAGACATGGGATATATTGTGTAAAATCAAGAAAAATAACTAGAATTTCAAAATATGATATTTGTATTGAATCAACACAACTCATATTTGTCTTTTGTGGGCCATAACATGTGCAGATATTACAACAATGCTTACTACGCTAAAGTTGGAGGAATCAGCACAACTGAGATGAACTTTCTTGAAGTGGATTTTTTATTTGGATTGGGATTCAACTTGAATGTGAAACCCAACACTTTTTATGCATATTGTTCATATCTTCAAAGAGAGATGATAATGGTGCAGCCTCAAGTTGACATGGCAGAATCCTCCTTGTGTACAGCAAGATCATCAAACCTCCATTTGTGTTTCAATGAAGACGAATCATCCCATCAACAACAACAGCAGCAACTTGCTGTTTAAGCTTAATGCATTTTTAGCGTGTTTGGTAATGTCGACTATAAAGTACAAGACGAAAAAAGAATTGCTAAAATCTTGTCTACTGCACTATCTAGTATTATGTACCATACATGTCATTGAATTCGTGATGCATATAGGTTAGTGCCTTAGAGGTAGCGTTTTTCTTTACATTTCCTCTTACTTTGGGTTGGCAATTTAAGCCCGTAATTGTACCATATCCTTATTCTCTCTGTTATATTTTCAAGATTTTGAGGTAGCCATGTTTTGGGGTATATTTGTAAGTAATTCATAGGCATATACAGATATTGTTGTTTGTTTTGTAAATTGTTTGATTTTATATGCTATACTCCTAGATCTAGTGATTCGTCAAAATTGTAGTTAGTTCGATAATGCTCGGCCGGCCCTCAGCTAGTCTTGTCTATGGTGTTTAACTCACCTTTCAATGGATCGGCATAAAGCACGAAAGCCAATACTTAAGGAAGTGGATCCTTATGCTAGATCTACTCTTTCTTGAAAACAAGAAACTTTTTTCTTATCCTAGCAAGATTCTAATACTCCTTTTATCAATAGAGTGACTGAAAATTCACAAGTTGATGGAAAGGGACATGAATGGTGAGGGTGGGATCTAATAAAAGGTTTGTTAGTAGAAAAGTGAATGGTTTGATTTTTGCAAGTGAAGACAAGTGGGACAGTTGTAATTTGATTCTGGAGGGGAACACACTGCATGTGCAAGCATATATGCCACTGTAGTTGGGCATGTGACAGCTTCACCCCAAAAGGGACAGGTACAAGAGAGAACATAATAATCCTTCTTCTTGATCTAGATTTACATATAGATACATAATATATACATATATATTAACAATGTATCTACATAGTTACATGTATATATAGCAATCAATGTGCAGAGATTGGCACAACATCCGGGGAGGGTAAGATTGAAGAATTACGTAGTTGATTCTCGACCTTTCATTGTAGCACATAATCAGACAATCATGTGATTCGTAAGTGTTTAATTTTATGGAGTTAAGTTTTTATAGTTTGACTGGTACTCAAAACATTGAGTGCAACATATTTTCCAAGACGACCAGGTGATAATTTAACAACGTACAATGTCATTTGTACACTCTTCTTTGTACATTATTGTTGAAATTGCAAATGTTGTCAACAACTGATTGAGTGAAAAAATTGTCTTATGATGTATTATCACGTGACAAAGTGTAAAAAATAGTGTATACCATGATGTATACCAAGCACGATTGTTTAACAAATATTTGGATCGTTTCATCATTGGAATTGATCGTTTCATCATGAGGGATTAACTTTCTCATTTTCAAAAGTCATGGATGAATTTGCTACTTGAATAAAGTTTAGACTAATGGGCAATTTCCTCTTTTCCTAATTATCAAAATACTTTTGCATACTTGAACATACCATTAACGGCATATTTGGTATGAATGATTGGGAAGTATTGTAATTATTATTAATAAGAAAAGAAATTAAAATCTTTGATATCATGCATACAAATATTAATTGAATTATGTTACAATGTAGACATACTAATACAAAACTATGTTAAAATATAAAAAAATTAACCGAACAAGTATATAATTATATTTATCAAAGATTATCCACCATGAAGAATTATACATGGTAAATTAGTACTAGGTTCTCAAACCATTCATCCAATGTGGTTATATTTCTTCAAAAGTGAGTTTTTGGTTCCCCAAATTATTTTAATTGGTCAATATGAGTATCAAGTGGCTGAAATCATCAATTTCGAAGTTAAACTCGTATATAATTTTCACATGACTCAGATATAGGGCAAAAACTATCAAATTACATTCATCTCCAGTTCAACTTAAAATTCGAATAGCGATGGCACTCAACTCGGCCCATCTACCCATGAGCTCGAATCGTCACTTTGACTAGCAGAGCTCAAGCTCGTTCGAGCCCGAGCCAAGCCAAGCCCACAAGTTTTTTTTTTTTTAACTTTTTTCTTTCACATTTTTACGAGCTCAACCCCCAGCTCGACTCATCTCAAAACGAGCCTAGGCTATCCATAGACCGAGCTGACGAGTTACACGACCCTTGACACCCCTAGCCGTGTACAATTTTAACTTCAAAATTGACGATTCTATACGCGTGGGAACCCAAAGATACAAATTCAAATATGTTGAGAACCAAAAAACTCACTTTAAAATTGAAGTCTATACTACGTGAAATGTTGAAAAGCCTAGTTCTAATTTACTTATTATAAATATAATTACAAACAATAAATTAGAATTGGCCTTTGGATGTATTTCTCCATAAGAGGAAATTACACGTTTGTTTTTTAACTTTTCATTTCAATAATTAGGTACAAAGATTTTCTTTCAAAAATCAAATGCACCACACCCCGCCCACGCAACCCACCAACTCCGACCACCGTAACAATAAACCAGCCATCGTCTTTACCGCTCACAATCAATAGTGGATCGGAGCACAAGATTTGCACTCACTGCCTCACTTGCATCATCTATGGTCATCATCGTCATTTGTCATTGTAGCCAAGTTCTCCCTTTCGCACCTCATCTCAAAGCTCCCTTTGTTTTGCAGTATTATTGCAATGTCGAGGCCTTCGATTGATATCAAACTATAACACGTGAACTAGATCAATCAAATGTTTGATACACAACACCAAACCCACCATTGAACTCCGTGGTGGTCGCTGCCAACGGGCCATTGCTAATTTGGACAACCTTGTTCAAGCTGAGCATTGAAGAATCCTCCACTTCCCTGTGATCCACCACTGAATGGATTGCACTTGGCTAGGTGAGGTGGCTACAATCTCCGGCAATACACTCACACACGTCCATAGAACATTTTTCCATGATGGTAGTATTGCCGATATGTAGAGACTGAGGTGGATTAGCACAAAATCAGCCATAGCATTGGATTTGGTGGCAGTGGTGGAGTCTTGCCTCCTTTCGGAACATAGATTGGTGTTATTCCCTGATATCACTGCCACGTGCCAGCCGTGTCTGTAGAACCAGCGACCACCAACATCAGTGCTTTCTCCTTGAAATTATTGGTGAAAGACGAAATATCACACTGTAATTTGTTTCTTACTGACCATCAGAGCTCTAAACCCAACACCCCCTTCCCCCTCAAAATCAAATGTTAAGAGCATCCCCTACGCGCGAGAACCAAATCCACAAAATCCATCTTAGACCAAAAGAAGTCCTTGACAAAAAATGATAGAACAGAATAATAAATCAAAACAACATTAGAAGTGGAGAAAACACGAGCTATGATCAACGCGCACTTGTAAAATACTGAATAATACTTGCACGTATAGATTCAAGATTTATGTTCTTCACTTGATCTTTGAGGATAAATGAAAGGTTTGTGTTTATGAGGGAAGGTTGTGGTGAGGTGGCGTAGGATTTTGTTCCCCTCATTTTTGTTTCTTAATCTTCTTCCTTTTTCTCGTCTTTTTGCTTTTATCATTTTCTTTATTCACTTGTTTAATCATATGGTTTTTACAAATACTGGTGTTAAGTTGCCTAAATAATAAATCCTCATTTATTAAATTGGTTACCAAACAAGTAATCCAAGTGTATAACAATTAAGACATTCCAAGAAACAAATCAAGATGCACATTCTTCAATGAGCAAATCATGACAAGAAATCACAGCTCCTCACCTAGACACACTGAATTATGGGGGAAAAAAGTGAAGACAAATTTCATTTCATTTTATTATTTTCTGTTGCAAAGAGAATTACAACCCCGAGCACGAGTTAATGCGATAAAAGAATTACACCATTCTTGCAAAAGTGATGCTGTAAAGCCTCCACGCTTCCCGGAGAAATTTTGAGTTCCTAAACCCTTCAACTTAGACATTAAAGGATCAAGTGTACAACAGGCTAATAATGATTTTGCAGGATACAAAAGTAAAACAAATATGGAAAATGGGAGATCCGAGTCTAATAGCATCCCAACTATGTCTACGGTCAAAGCAGAATTCACCACATAACAAGCCAAATTATGATCTGATCAAATGAAAACATGTCTTTGGTTCATACCTACGCAACAAAACAAGTTTTCCTTTCAAAGGGATTTGCAAAAGTGGTATATGACCTAATGCAAGTAAAGCACGTCATAAAGTGATGCTTCATCCACACAAAAGCTTAACAAAGATAATAGCTCCATGATAAGAGAAAATTTATTCAACTAACCCAGAGCATATATCATACAGTTCCTGAAAATGCAGAACATAATTAAAAAAGAAGAATGTGCTACCCCTTCTGATGAAAGGAACTGAATATACTAAAACTAACCTTCAGTACGAGGCAAAATTTACGGAGATTAGCCTCATGAACACACCCACAAATTCCCTATCTGGAGATCCATATTAAGTGCATATTTGGAAAGCTTACAATTGCTTATAAGCTCATCAAACTCTAATTCTTATCCATAAATTCCACACGACCCACAACATTAACCTAATTTTTAACCACATTCCTTCGGCACATTAGTTATAAGCACTTAAAAATCTTAGCCTAACAAGCTATGAAAAGCCAGTTCTGTACGACAGTGAATTGTCGTATCCCTTGGCCAATAAATTATATTTGTATTATAACTACTTAAAAGAGTTTTGTCCTATTTCTTCCAAGATTCATTAGGCAACAATGTATCAACACAAATCAAAAGGGTTGTGATCAAGTTTGACTTATGTGAAAATGTTCCTCTGCAATTCAGGTAACCTTTGGAAAATCTCTATTAGTCGTATACAGCACGCAATAGAACAATATTTTAGGGACAAGATTTCAGGTATTCAGTGCTTTTAAACAAGACGATAATACCAATCACAATTGCCCCGCACCAACAGTCAGTAAACCAAACCATGTTCTACATCCACGCCTATCACCGGGTGAACTGAAACTATAGGTCCATCAAAAACTCAGACACGTGTCACTGATGCAAACAAATTTGAGGGATTTAAACTTCATTTCAAGTA